GATTTCTACCTAACTATTTTCCGATTCCATATAGTTCGCTACTGATTATCTTTGGAAGAAACAAAATAATGTTTTACAGTTATTAGATATTCATGTTTCCGAGACAATTAGACAAAAAACAGAGTACCCAGTTTATGAAAAATTATTTGAAATTTTTGAAATGTTCTTGGATGTCAGATTTATTATAGAATTTAGAAGTTACACAGACCGTTTCTTTTATGTTCCAACTATTGCGATCTTAGAAATAGTAGGACTTACAAGATTGGTTAAATTAAATGAAAGTTGCCTATTTGGGGAAACAATATAGTTTTTTTCAGGTTGCAACTATCAATAAAACGTTTTCAGGTTATTTGTAAAAAAATATTTCGTTTGTTAGCTCTTCCGCCATTTCGGATAATATGGAAATAAGACGCAGAAACTTTTGTGCTATTTCATGTTTGTTATGTGGTATAAACCAATTTTCAATGTGTTTTCTTTATTCCTTCAACAATTTTTTTTCGAAACGGACATCTAAGTTTTCATCTATTAACTCCAAACACCTCTTGAAAATTTGCAGTGGCCCAATTGTCGATATCATGTAAGTATATTCACAGGATTTTGTATTCCCACAAAAATAGTTCCCTGCAAATAATACATGGTGCAAATGGAATATATATTCCCATAGGAGAAAAATGTATGTATATCTTGGAATAGATATATGAATATTAATTACCTACTAATCAAATTACTGGGAAACTTGGAATTTAGATTGCTGAATATATTGAGGAGAAAAAAAAAGGAAACTAGAGTCTTCTCTTTGTTATTGTTTTTCATTTGTCCTCATTTATTTTGGAGAAGAGACTATAGTTGTTTTGTGGTGATTAGTTATTTTCCGGTTATTCCGAAAAAACTTATGAACCTCATGGGAAATAAAGAGGATTTTCGAAATGGAAAGTTCACAATTTCATTTCAGTTAATTACAAAAAATTTTGCATAGTATTTCGTTAGCAAGAAATATACCTGAAAACACTAAGTTTTTTCCGTTTTTCATTTTTATTTTTTTGCATATTATTGACACTCAATTCATTCATTATTGTTTAACCATTTCATCACCTCATTTACATTGCAAGACAAGCGTTGTTATACACATTTTTCTATTACTGGAGTTTTTCCCAACACCTAATCTTTATTTTAGCACCTTGACAAATGTTTCGATCACCAAGTAATCATCTTCAAAAGGAAAACCAAACTGAACATGACAATTCACATCACTGTGGACAGCACAAACGTTCTGGGCTGAATTTTCTAGTGCATCGTCTTTTGACTTTTCCTCTCACACATGAGAGGTTCACAAAAGAAAAATGTACAGTACAGGAAATAGCAGCCACTAACGGTTTCTCGAGGGGTATTGTTGATGATATAATTAGGAAGCGTAAACTAGTTAAGTTTAAGGAAGCTATTATATGTCGCGGTTTTTGTAAAATCCTTTATAGTGAAAATCATATAATAAAGTGTATTAATTAGTTTTNGTATTGGAATACGTTATGATGAATATTCATCAAATATCGACCATCGATTTAGGAATATTATAAAACCCCAAATAATTTTTTTAAATTTATTCAAATCAAATAGCCTCTATTAGGAATACTGAACTAGGTAGTTCAAATAACATCGAGATTTCTTCTACCATTGCCAAAAAGTAATTACATATACGAATATCTTGATAAATACACTTGAATTCATCTGTGCTTCGTTCCAATATTCCACCAAAATAAAATTGTCACAATAGAGAAGAATATTCAGGGCAAAAAGTCGATGAGATTCCAAAAAATAAATCATTGAATTAAAAATAAGCCGGCAAAATGCTACATGAAATATATGACTTCAACACAGGGAAATTTTAAAATATATTCGAATTTTACGCAACTTTGAACAATCCAATCCAACTTTGAACAATCGATTTTTGAAAATTAAATTGAAAAGTATTGAATAATTTCTTCAAAAAATGTCAGTGAAAAACGTACTTCTGTATATTTTACATATGTGTTAGAATCGTTTAGCCTATGCTCTTAAGCGCATTATCTATTAGGGACCCACATAGAAATAACAGTATTCATCAAATGTTAATAAGAATATTATCAATCATAACTGTGTTATTATTCTAGTTAGACACTCATCGTTATTCAGTCATGGTTTGTGTTAATAAATAAATTATTGACAGATTACAACAAATTACTATGCTAATTTCACTATTGCTGTTTTTAAAAGCCTTGAAGGAGTCATGGAGATTATCTCTGTAAAAATAACACTGCGTTGTTGTGGTTTTTGTACAGAGATAAGAAAATAAATATTAGGTTACAATTATCAACAATTGAAGTGATAATCGTTTGGATTAAACATCATGTAAAATAATATCATTCACAATAAAAAGCGAACTTTAATGTTCGATTATTCAATCAACAAAAACTACAATCAACCGCGTACACGAGATAAAAGATCTTGGTATAACATATGACAGTAAATTAACATTTACAACACATATGTATAAGGAATATGACTGCTGATGCAAATAGCATGCTTGGATTCATTAACAGAAATGGCAAAAACTTCAAAAGTGTTGCCACCTTGAAATTACTATATTTTGCGTATGCCAGATCTAGGTGTATTGATTTCACTACGCTACACTACTCTGCGAATAGTCTTGATGATCCGTAGGTGGCTCAGATAGTTATTGACTGTCCATAGTCAACCATTCACTATACAATTTGTTTCAAGTTTGTGTTATTTCTCGATATATGTCGCTGTGAATTATTATTAAATATCTGTGTTGTGTGACATATAGAATCTTAATAAGTACACAACAAAACTATTTGAGCTGTTTGTTTAAAATCACATCTAAAAATCAACATTTTTGAATTCACAAATGTAATTTGAAAAAATTTAAAAGATTTTGGTGTAGTGGAGGTATTTAGATATAAAACGGTTCAAGTATAAAGCCTTGTGGAACTTCCAATATTAGTGAAATCAGAACTCAAATTTCTTTCCCTAAATTGTGTTGTGGAATTGGTCGCGGTGGTAGTGCGCCCGACTCACGATCGGAAGACCGTGGGTTCGATTCCCGCCTCGACCAGATATTTTTCTCGAAAGAATTTATCTGGTTGAAGCTGGAATGATTCTGCAACCGTGTTAGGAATCACACGTTAAAAGGTAAGACTTCGTTCGGCCTTAGCTCGCACAAGTTTCTCAACTTCTGAGGGTTGTCGTTCGTATGGGGGCGACAGCTGATTAACGGAAAAACAGATTTTAACAGAGATTAACCTCTGGGCAAACAATCAGTTTCGACGATGATACTGTCATTTTATATACTTCTTCAACTTGGCAAAACATCAAAACAATCCATTGAAGATGATTTTCCTACAATTTAAATCTGATGTCATGGACATCAGACAATTGAAAATATTTTATTTTTCGCTAATACAGTCACAACTTTCACACAATTTTGGGAATGGCGGGGGTGTTTAGTAATTGTTTTGTAGAAGTGCTGATGTAGTTCAAAAATGGATCGTGAAACTAATATTTGACAAAACACGAGATTATTGTAGCGATCTCTTATATAAAGAAGCCTAAATCATGAATACCAGATAACTATTCTGTATGAAAATATTATAATTCATTAAAAATGGAAAAATCGTTTCATAAGTTCACTAAAGTAAAATATGCGAAAGATGTTACTATTTTTCTACCCTGAAAACGGGGTAGAAAACGATCGGACAGCGAAATGCCAATTACCTGGCACCTATAATATATAAGTACGTACCTCATGAGACTCAGAATATTGGAAAATATAGAAAATACAGAAAATACAAAAATTGTTTAACTGACTCGAATCTCAAGATAGGATGTGTTTAGCAAAATAATGAATTCTAAAAGAGTATTGAAAAATGGAAAAAAGAGATAAATCTACCTCCTGATTATGTCATTTTACGAAATTGTGAAATTTATCCCACATGTTATTCTCAATGAAAATTTACCTATATGTGACCTTATTGAAAAACCCAAATATGTCCTTACTCGGATGTGTCGCTATATCATATCACGTTCAAGCAGTCAGAACAGCTTCTGTGACTTTTCTGTTTATTTGTTCTCTTGCATGTGTTATATTGTTTGTACTATTTATTTACTCATACAAATAAACATTTTTTTAACCTATGTTTTCGCTGATCAGGCCCCCTTCCCCGAACAGAACAAATCTTGACAGAGTGGTCTGGAAAAACTCAGTGGAGTTCAAAGAGACAATCTCGATATTTTATGCGTTTTTCCTCCTCTTTTCGGGCGATATTCGTTTAGCCAGGAGTTGAAAACTTCACAACAAATATTGTCTTGCTCTGGTGGTCGAGAAAAACTACATCAGGCTTATTAGCTTGAAGGGCCTGAGGGTGGGGAACGAATAGTTCCAATAAATTCGGCACTTCTCGTTCCCCACAACGAATTCAATATCCCCTGAGCGTAGAGCAACACCGGTGTCTCGTCAATACCATAAGAGTGCCGTAGATGATAATATAGCACTCTTAGAGCCCCGTTATGTCAATGGACATAGGCCGTATATGCTGAACATGCTAATTATGGTCTCGGTCGCCTCACAGCAGGCCCTACACCTTGTGTCAGGAACCTCTATACCCATCACCAGACTGCGATAGACTAAGATGTTGAAGACACCATCCTGGCAAGCCATGATGAACCCCTCAGCTTTACACTTCAGCCCATTCGACCTGAGGAAAGCAAAAGTCAGGCGCTTTGATAAACCAAGGTCTTCAATGTTATTGAAGAAAACCCCATGCATTGGCAAATAAACATTATTATTATTATGAATGTAAAAAGATCACTAATATACCATATTTCTTGTTTGAATGTTGTGTTATATTCACCTCCATTTATTTACCGGCATTTTTTAATACTAAAAACATCAACAACAAATTATTTAAATTAATCGTACAGGGTCCTAATTTTGTCTTCTTTTGCAGGAAAACCTGCCAACACCTGAGTCGTCCGAAGGAAACGATGATGATCATTACGGAGGTAAGAAACTTTTGATGCTTATCTTGCCTGTTATTTGATTTGTGACCACAGAAAACTCAAACTATTATTGCTCATACAACATTTAAACACATAACTTTAAATTGGTTTGTTCAATGGAAATCTGAATACAAAATTATCGAAATTCAATAAAGTTGAGCAGGGTTGGTTTTACATCTCTTGTTACTTACATATGAAATGAGTAGTAAAAATTTAGAGGAATTGTATAAAGGCGTGAACTTCTGTTGGAAAAATTCATATTTTTGTAACTTCTACGTGGCTTTTCCATTTTTAGTATGGTTATAAATATAATTGGGAACTAGAAAATATTTTATTGAAAAAGCATGTATAATGAATGATCAACCCATCAATGACAATTATACTTTTTACTTTCTGGTTATTGTATGGATGAAGTTAAAGGAATAAAAGGGCACATTTTCACTTACTTTTAATGACAGTATTATATTTAGCTGAGAGGTTGAAACCAACTCCTACAGGGCTTCTGTTCGGGTATTTTCAAAATGTACAACTACCCCTAGTTATTCTCTCAATTGAAATAAAAATTATTAAATAAAATACATGTTTAATGATTTTCAGAAGAAGGTTTTAGAAACATTTAATACATTCAGAGTGTAACTGATTGCAGCGACCGTTTACTTGTTTGCTTGCGCTAATCTTGCAAACGGCAACATATTGCGGTAATCTTCGCTTAACATTTGGTGTTTGATTTGTTTCAATGGGTTTATAAATAAAAAATACTATAAAAATACAGTTCAGTTGATTAGGCTCAAACAAAGGAGTGCTCGCGATGGAACTCGGGACAATAGCTCATACGAAATAGGTATATCAAAATGTTTGGGTAATCATTTATGAACAGTTCATTTTCTTACTTTAACTGTAGATGTTCATGATTCATTTCAACTTCTGTAGACATTTATATAAAATATGAATGAAAATTCTTACCTTAATTTATCGAAATGATTTGCTCAAATCAGTACAGCATCTGATTAGTTGAATTTAATAGAGAAATCCAAACAAGTAAAAACTATTATTTTGATTCATGCCTTCATTTTATTCGTTGTGTCAGTCGGATCAGATTTCCAACATTTTTGTTATCAACGCATAACAACCAAAAACAATGATTTGTTATAGTTATTTCTGTCCACGTGAACGATTTCGCTAAATGACAGTTTGAATGAATACTACACCAAATGTTTTTATGTTTTTTATTACTTCTATCAATTGGATAGCTAAATGTTGGTATTTACCTTGGCTTTAAAGTATGACAGAATAATTGAACTTTGTCTTTTATTCGGGAACTAAAAAACCTGCAGCATATTCAATAAGTTTGTTATCTCGTAAAGTTTTCATGATGCTTAAAATACTAATCAGTTGAAATGATTGAAATTGTTTGAGAACCGTTTACACGGATAACTATTTATCACAATACGAACAACCCTTAGAAATCTTCAAGAGACTTGTGAAAGTTATATATAGAGTAATATGTATAATAAGTTAACAAATACAATGGTCACTTATTGAATTTTTCAAAAAGTTGTTTTTCAAAATATTCGCCTTAAGATTTGCCAATTCTCGAAAAACATGTTTTGGAAGTTTTGAACATTTTCCGGGGGTGTAGACGAGTCTTGTGAATCAGGAGAATACAGCAAGTGAGTCAAATTCTTCAAAACAGAACAGTCTTTTCGTTAGCACTCCATTGCCAGAAGTTCAATACCATTCTATACAATCTTATCCCAGGTAGCCCTTTCTTAAAATAGTAAAAAATCATCCAACAAAAACATTCACGAGTGATTTTTCTTTGTCACACCAAAAATACTATCTCTCGACGCATATTTCGCTAATCAAGTTAACATCATCAAGAGATGACCAATAACATTGAAACTTGAAATAAAGGAAATATCCATGTCAGTGCGAATCCAAAATTGAGATGGTGGGAAGCGTTTGCGATTTTTTCGTGCACAGCAAATATCTCCAAAAATAGTTTTAATATCGCTCCTGTTGTGCATCTAAAGTAAATAATGCAAATATTCATGAATAAATTTTCGAATATATATCTCATTACGAATAAACTAAGATTCTTAACGAAGAGAACTCATTGTAAGGTTAACTCAAAATAAAAATCATAAAGTTCTTCAATTCATAAACATTATTTGTAAATCTAGAATTTACACAGGTATTCTATATGAACAATGATTTAGTTGAATATTTCCAATCTCTATTATATAATTTCTAATTTTTTCAAATGTTTTTTGCATCATCCTGAAACTATTATTTAGCTTCATTCAAAAAAATATGTCAAAATAACTATCAAATTCAATATTAAAATGACGAAGTACCTATCTGTCTGTCTGTTTGAAATATATTTTCCCATTAACCGGCTGTCGCCCCCCTACAAACGATAACCCTCAAAAGTCGAAATTTGTGCGAGGATTAACAAGGTTTTATCTTCGAAAATGCAATTCATGACACGGGTTGGACGATCATCCAGCCTCTCGGCTCGAACCACCAATTGAATGAGTGGAACAAATACTCACACCAACCCAACCGACTAAAGAAACACAAAACAAAAATGCAACCTTAACCTTCAAAGAATTCACTACTTAAAACATAATCAACGCAACAGAAACCTTTCTTCATTTGGCGTGCCTCATCGGTTTGTGAGGCCGTTTGAATTTATTTCATCCCGCAATAGTTTTCAATTAGCCTTCACTCCTTAGATATTGATTTTAATGGGGAATGTTACTCAATTTGGGTTATTACTACAGCAAATGCAAGTTTGAACAAAATAAAGTTGAGTTTTATTCATGAGTTTTTCAAATTCACTTCGAAAAGTATTCAAATTGATGTTTTGAATGTTGGGTTTTAATTTTTAAAGGGATTTGTTTCTAATTCACATATTGGCAACAGCACCTATATCAAGTTGAAATAATTTATACGTACCTAGATATTCTACTTTAAAAAAAGGAAAATTATCTTTATAAATCAACAATTAAGGCAAAATATAAATTATAGTTCAATACCACCTCCACAAGCCACATAAACAAGAGTTGTTTTGTTATTTACTTATAAGTAAACAGAACAGCATGCCTCTGAAATATGTCATCTTTGTTTGTCTCATACAGAAGTATTTAAATAATTTTTTAAAGAAAAAGGTTGAAATGATAAGTTCAAAATGCGTTGTTTTAGAGCTCTTTTATGAAAACTACTTGATTTTCGTCAGGAGAAACATTCCTCAGTGTAGAGGGCAGTTACAGTGTTCATGAATTGTTTGTTTTTCAAGAACAAAACACAAGCATTAAAATCGTATCCATCTAATTAGCTTCGCAATTACCACATTATGTGACCATTATTTCAAACTTTGAAATTGGTACAGTGTACAGTAAGCTTTCCTTAAAAGAGAAACATATGCCGTCAAGAATTTTTCTATACACATAAACCTTTCTTTCGTATAACTCCAACCGATAGGTGAAAATCCGTTCGGTAGTTTTTGAGTTTATCGCGATCAGACAGAGAGATAGATGCGGCGAGTGGATTTTGTTTTTTAATATGCGTAGTGATAGTAAATCCAAAATTTATTATAACATTCACAAATCTTCTCAATGGTGAAATATTGGCGTTATTTCTGATTCGAAGTCTCCTGCGTTAAGTTCATCAAATGTTGAGAGTTTAAAAAAGAAAATCTTGTGATTATAGTAAATTTCGAGGTAATACGTTTCCATCATTTGTTATTTTTAACGGAAGTTTGGAATCAATTAAAATAATACATTCTGGTACTCCTGTTTCTTTCCATAACAATATTTTCTTTCACTACACTCAAATTCATTGAACAATAATCAAATAATCCTAACGATGTAAACCAACCCTGCTTATCGTGATATGATTGGCTGTGCAGGATCTGGGGCTATGAAAGACAGCGACAAGCTCAAGTTGATGCTATTGGCGTGGAACTACCACAATAATCAAGGTAACACATACATAATATACACATTTCATACACGTTGTAATATATACAAACCGAGTCGATTCGTTATTTTGTATTTGTCTTGTGCAATTTAATTGTTAATTGGCATTTCGAATGAAATTCTCTTTGGATTCTTGGCGGAAGGAATTAAGTACCTAGCTAATGGATTTAGCATTGAGTATAATGTATTTAGGTTTCTTTTTCAGGACCTAGTTATGGTGAATGGGATTGTGAATTATTTCAATTTTCATTCGTTGAGTATAGGTAAATATAGATAAATATGTAAGAAAAAAATACTGCATAGAATATGAAGACTGAACGGATAGACCGTTCCAATAATTGAAAATCTATTGCGACAGTTGTATCGCCAACAGCATATGCAGGAATAACTTTAGTGAAGAATCCTGCACTGATACCTGTCGGATATAATCCAACGCCCTTCATGGTATTAGCCAGAGGAATATTTTGATACATTTACTGATTGTGTATGTTGTCGAATAAAAAAAGGATTGGAGAAAACAGAATCCGGGCCGGTTGTCCGTGATCGAATAGAACTTGTAGTACCGAACGTTTCGTCTGCTACTGCGGCAGACATCATCAGTGGTATGTACGTTGACTGCGAGGACGAAGGTTATATCTCGAATGTTGTTGCTGAAAAGGTTTCAATAGGATCCACTGAGAAAAAAATTTAAAGATTTTTTTCAACAAATTTTGCAAATATGAGGACACAAGAGGCAATCAATATATAATAATCACCTTTAGACATGAATTTTGAAAAACAGTGGTAGAACCAAAATCATTGGGACGAGATCAGAACAAAAAATGGGCCAATAAAAAATATAAAGAGTACTGGGAAAATATATCTGGTAACACGTGGGAAAACCTTCAGAAAGGATCTGCTGAGAAAAAAAATTAAAGAATTTCTTCAACAAATTTTGCAAATTTGAGGGCACAAGAGGCAATCAATGTATAATAATCAACTCTAGACATGAGCTTTAGAAAACAGTGGTAGAACCAAAATCATTGGAACGATATCAGAACCAAAAATGTGTTAGTGAAATATAAAAAGCATTGGAAAATATACCTGGGAACATATGTGAGAAATACTTTATAAAGGGCTCGCCTGAGAAAAAAATAAAAAAATTGCTGTGGAGGCACAGGAGGCAATTAAAGTATGATTAAACAACTCTTGATATGGAATCTGAAAAACTGTGGTAGAACCAAAATCATTGGGACGAGATAACGACAAAAAATGGGTCAATAAAAAAAATTAAAGAATACTGGAAAAATATACCTAGGAACATATGTGGGAAAACATTTATAAAGGGTCCGCCTGAGAAAAAAAAAGTAAAGATATGCGCTAACAGAGGAACTATTGTAGGAAACAAGATTGTTGGGGTGGGTATCATGAAAAGATGATTGGAAACACTCAATAAATCTATGAGACTACAGTATTTTCCGGGTACTTGGACAAATCACACGTAGCAAAAAAAAAACAAATGAAAAAGTCTGATACATCTGTAGGGCCCTCAGTACTGATCTATTCTATCAATTTCGAAATCGGAATTTTCAGGAATCAATTTAATAGTCCATCGTGTTAATAATGATGAGTGGAAACTATTATTGTAGGACCTTTATGGACTGAATATAAATGAGTTTTTTATTTAATGAAACTCGAAAATTTTCCATAATTCAATTTGTTTTATTCTCAATTCGACTGAAATAATCCAATAGCCACATAATTTATGCATTTTTTGATTTTCTTTTCGATCATGACATCAAAAATTCGATTGAAAGTAAATGATTCATGTTTGTTGCATACCTGGTTCTATAATTTTTCATCTTCGAAACCTAAATGCTTCAACTATATTTTAAAATTCATATTAATATCCGCGTTCGCCAAGAATTCTTATTTGAACAAAATGCCTCTGTCAATTTCGAATTATATTAGCACGGTGGCATAGCTAGTTGTACCATTAAGATTTGGGCATTTTCGAAAGGATTTTTTTAAACCAATAACACAAGGAACCTCACATTGAAGAAATTAAATTACACACATTGAATAGCTTGAAAACAAGATATAATACTAAAACTCATAAAAAGGTAGGGTAAGATTCAATTACTTTGGCACTTGCCTAAACTATTGTCATATTCGAAAGTAGATAGCTTGCTCGTGAAGAAGTTGGGTTGAAGAATTAGTAGAGTTCATATCTTGATGACGCCAACTTCGTTGTTGAAGCGAGTACTAAGAATAGTGATTGTGTTGGATTCTGTCTTTTGTTCCACTCTTATAAAATATCCCTACAGAATCGTATGGTACTTATAATATAACTATTGTGGAAAACGTTTCATAATTTAAATAAAGTATTGAATTCCCCAAATGTCAATAAGCATTATTGAATTTTTTAGAGATTGTGGTAGAAACTGAAATATGTTTACAAATATAAATGATTCTTCCCTAATTGATTTTTCCTCGTCTTTCTTGTTTGTCTTTTAGATGAGTGTATATTATTGTTTATTTTAACCAAAACGAACCCATCCTAATATCTATTTATAATTTAATACCAAACCGGAAAACTAGGTTTAACCGCATCCTACAATTTTTTATCTTTTCATCGAAATGTTACATTGTTCCCCAATAACACCAGTTACATTAAAACCGTAACCATTGCTATCTGTGATTGTTGTTTCAGAGTTATTGAACGTGTTCTAATTTCAAATGAATTCATCACGGCTCGTTATTTATAATGAAAATGTTCCCAAGTCAAAAATGCCCAATTCTTCAATTGTTACTCTGGCAATAATTAATAATGTATGTTTTCTGTTGATATTCGATGCTATTTTTGTGTGCGACAAAATTTAATGAATTTTTTTTTGGTCAGGAAATAGGAATGGTAATAGTGATAATATCACAGATTTATCTTCGGTTCCCGGAAGTGAAGAAATGGTTGGGCTGTGGGCACAGTATCATTCTGCGTTAGGTTTGGCCAAAGGAAAAGCAACACCGCCTACAATAAGGGATAATTCTGTAAGTATTACGTGATTAAATAGAAGATACAGGCATAAAAAATTAATTTCTTTAATCGCGGCAAATGATGAGTTGTTTTGATAGTAATAATTAAAGCCCCTCCTATTTTTAGGTACATTCATTAGATCGTTTGATATTATTTAATAAGATTTTTTATCATTTCACTCCTTAGAATAAATTGTTTTACAATTCTCTAGTTGTGTTGTTCACAAATACTCACTAACATTCTTAAGTGAATCACTTAGTACGTTTATTTTGGATCACACGATATAAATATGTAATACCTGTTCATTCAATACCATTTACTTTCGAGCTTATATAGACCCATATCTGAGAATCATGTCTTTCATACAGATGATTTGATAATTTTTTACGATCAGTAAATAACCACAATGAGTTATTCTCATTCTTTTGTTAACGTCAATTAGAGAAATTTCTGGTTATAAATTGACCCGTTACTTGGTGAAAGTCAGTAACACTATTCATGATAATAATTACAAATTTTTTCAGTGTAGACTTATTTCAAAAACGCGTTTCTCTATATAGTACTACCCAAAATCTAAAAAGGTTAGTTGCCGATTTCGTCTTGGTGCACGTTTCAGAAACTGGGGCTATCTATTGAATAGCAGAATTATGATTCTGAAATAGGAAAATGACTGCGATGTTTATTTTTTTGGATTAACATATTTTTATCCTAATGAAGTTGTGAACTGTTTCACGTTTGATATATTTGAAATTCACCTGAAAATGATAAATTGCAAAAGTATTCTGATTATTCAGTTGGAAATTATATTGATGATAACTCCCATTTCTCACCTATACGAATCGTGCCAATTAAACTTAAAGTCGCACCTTTATGAAATTTATAAATTCATAAATGTATTGAAAGGATTCCAAAATAGAACTGGCCGATACTTGATGTAAATCCATATTAAAACTCAATTAATACGGTTTATTGTATGATTTTCACTAAAAAGGGTTTTACAAAAACTGCCACACATGTTTCGCTATACAATAGCTTTCTCAAGCGTTAATAATAAGTTCCTTCTGAATTACATCTATTTTATTCTCTAACATATTACCTACTTGTTTACCTACTTTCTAATGGATGAATCTACCTGGAAAAGTCAGGTATAAATTCATTAACTATATTTATTATTTATTAATTAAATTTCCGAAAATACCGTAATTACACTTAAATTTTCTTACCTGGAAATAAACAGATTTAATAATGGCGAATTGGATATTGGGAGTTTTTAAATTTGTTTATTTCCATACTCTCCAACAAGTTGAGTTTTTAAACCTTTCTTCTGGAAATGGAGGGGCTTGAATTCATGATTGAACTCATGTCCCTCTGTGATTAAATATGTGGAGTTTATTTTTCCATTCTGGAAACTATTTCTGTGTTCCTGTATGCGGGCTTTGAACGTTATTTCAGTTTGATGGACGATTTGTAGTGAAGAATACACAGTAACCCACTGGTAAGAAGTTGCGTGTATTGGTATAGATATGTGGATGATATCCTGGTATGTTTCACAGAAACGAACAGACAATTGATTATGTCCTTGAAATTCATCAATTCGCTCCACTCTTCCATCACAGATGGAAAATGTCGGCTCTATAAATTTATTGGACTTGGCAATAACGAAATTTTACAAAAAACATGATTTTTCAATTTATCGCACAAGCACATACAGATATTATCATTAATAATTTGTCCACGCACAAAATAGTAGCATTCAACAGTATGTTTCACAGACTGATAAATGTTTCCTTGTCGGAGGCCAATTCCAAGAAGAACATATTAAAACAAATAGCCGTCAACAATGATTATGATAGCACACATGATAATACATTAACTATTATCAAAATACTTATACAGCCAAGCTTTCAAGGAAGTTTACTCAATTCGAAGAGATGAGGATAAAAGTTAAAGAATCTCAGCCTACTTAGGCCAACCCAATACGAATATTTCAAATTTTGTGCACAACAAAGATGTAAATATTGCTTCCAAAACCAACAACAACTTGGACATGCACATTGAGAATGACAGAGATAAAAGTTCATTTTCAGAAAAATCGGCAGTGTATAAATTATCATGTGGGTCATATCCGATGTTTTATATCGGTCAAACTGAAAGAACGTTCAAAGCCCGCATAAAAGAACACAGAAATAGTTTTCAGAATGGAAAAATAAACACCACATATGCCACTCATTTGATCACAGAGGGACATGACTTTTTGGAGAGTTTGGAAATAAACAAATTTAAAAACTCTCAATATATTATGAACCATCAAATTGAACGGAATAATTCGCCATCATTAAATCTGTTTATTTCCAGGTAAGAAAAGTTGAGCATAATTACGTATTTTCGGAAATTCAATTTATTCATATAGTTAATGAATTTATACCTGACCTTTCCAGGTAGATTCATTCATCAGAAAGTAGGTAAACAAGTTGGTAATATGTTACAGTGTAAAATAGTTGTAATTTAGAAGAAATTTATTATTAACGCTCGAGAAAGCTATTGTATAGCGAAACACGTGTCGCGGTTTTTGTAAAACCCTTTATAGTGAAAATCATTCAATGAACTATTAATGATTGTTTGAAGGTGGTTGACAATGTTTCGTGGTGCATTTCATTAGTTGGGACTTCCATTGTCTAATATAATATAAATTGATTTGAAATCCTTGAAAAAAAAAAGATTAACCGAAAATAACAATTTTATTAAAACAAAAAACTGAAATTACAAGAAAATAACATACAAGCTACAACCAGAAAATAAAAAATTGAAATAATAATAAAAGCTGGGTTATCACCCGAAAACAATTGTGGATACTAACAATCGAAACGTCGTGACGTAACTTGTTTTGGAATATTTTAATTTGTATTTTTAGTTTTCATCTTTTTTGTTAATAATATTTTTTAATTTTTTATTTCCAGCTTTTATTAATACTTCAATTTTTTATTTTCTGGTTGTAGCTTGTATGTTATTTCCTTGTAATTTCAGTTTTTTGTTTCAATAAAATTGTTATTTGTTGTTATGGTCGTTTACCTTCATTTCCTGGGTCAGTTGAATTTTGTACGGGTGCAGGCCCAAGTGCGAAAAGCCGATTTCTTGTGAGCCACCTCTGGCGTGAAATAAATCTATTGAAAACACTTTTCCCTCTCCAGAACAAAAATGCTGTGTCTCGGCACGCGTTTCGATAATCAAGTCCATCATCAGGAGATGACATCGCGCGTGTCGGGAGACATCATTTTTATTCAGACAAGGAGAAATTATTCTCGATAGATTTCACATTTCATACAAGTACTAGTAAATATCTTATTTTTTGTTTATTTATTCAAATATGAACTACAGTACGAATTAGAAGAGCTTGCGTATTTTAGCTAAAGTTTTATTTAACATAAATTTATCAATATCACCTGACAGATTGTTAATTGTACCCTGAATTTTCACCTGTTTCAAACCATAAACTGTAGTGGCTTATGTTCCTATAAATAAAACATTCTTTCGATAAAATAGCATTATTTTGGCTGAAAAACTCCAGAGCTGCCGGTAAGAATGGTCGTTACAAAAAATTTTAATTTGAGAAATTGTTATGTTCTATTACTCCAAATAATGTCCAAGGTATGTTTCTATTTACCTGTACAAAGCTAGGGCGAGTCAGCTGTGATCGATAAATTGTGTAAGTACCGAACCGATTTCGATAATTCTTCCACTATTAGGAATCACACGTTAAAAGGTAAGACCTCGTTAATCCTTAGCTCGCACAAGTTTCGACTTCTGAGGGTTGTCGTTCGTAGGGGTGCGACAGCTCGTTAACGGAAAAACAGATTTTAAACAGATTTTTTTTAAACAGCTACGTCATCCAGAAGTACGCCCGATATTCCCACAGGAACGGAATCAAGTTCATGTATACGAAGTGTCGAATATAAACTATTGTATATAAAAAAAGAGTTATGTAATTACTGCAGGTTATAATCCGTGGTCTTGAAATTTGCACGTGTGCGAAGCCGGGCTGTCATCAAAATAATGCGACGCGAAGTGATAGGTCATCCGCCGTACAGTTCTGATTTGGCACTCAATGACTTCTTTTTGTTCCCGTACGTCAAGAATGAATTGCGCGAACAGCAATTTTCGCCCTAGAAGAAACTATTGATGCGTTGTTTGAAAAGCATGTTTCAAAGATATCAAGGAAAGTGGAAAATATATTAGGACAAATAATGGTTTGAACACATGCAAAAGTATATAGTTCATACAGAATATGTTGAACAACACAGTAGTATTCAATGACAAATTACTGTTTTTCATTATGAGGCTCAAAATATAAATAGTGATCCTCGTACTATATCATGCTAAATTTTTCTTCTATTACGACCCTACATCTATCGTGCATCGACAAAATGAGATTGTCAATGTCTTGTTGAGGTACATTTACCCATTCAGCGATTGAAAGCTCTCTCAATTGAAACGTTGTGTCATATGCGGAGTAATTCTTCGTTGAAGCATGTCCCACACATGCTCGATGGGATTCAGGTCCGGTGATTGTGCTGGCCATGGCAATACATCAACTCCTTCGTTGGTGAGCCAGTCAGTCACTAGACGCGCGACATGTGGACGAGCATTATCGTGCATCAGGTGGAAGTTTTCACCAACAGCACCAGCAAACGGACGGACGATAGGTAGAAGAATGGTGTCGAGGTACTGTCGAGCTGTGAGGGAGCGATTTGGTAAAACGAGATCGGTTCTGCCGCCGATCATGATTCCGCCCCATAGCATTACTGTACCACCTCTGTATGTGTGGACTTCCTGGACGTGTCTCAAACGTTCATTATTTCCAGGTCGTCTCCACAGTCTCACTCGACGAGAATCTGGATGAAATCCAAATCTGGATTCGTCTGTAAACAAAACTGAGGCCCAATCATTTGCATCCCAGTTTTGATGTTCTTGACACCACTCTAATCTTCTACCGCGATTGCCTCTCGACAAAGGTGGACATCTAAGTGGCTTTCTGTTGTGGAGATCTGCTTCATGCAGTCGATTTCTGACAGTATCACGATCAATGGTTACCTGGTGCGTCTGCTACAACACGTTAACCAACTCAGGTGTTGTGATTGTCGGTTGTCTTCTTGCGGTTAAGACCAAAAATCGGTCTTGAACTGCAGTTGTAGCGCGTCCTCGCCCTGGATGTTGTTCGGCTGGACTGCCAGTTTCACGGAAACGCCGTCACAATCGACTGATAACACTTTGGGAGACCCCCAAACGAAGAGCTATATCATTTTGTCGCATGCCACCTTGAAGAAGCCCTACAGCTCTATTATTCTCAGCCAATGGTAAGTGATGGCGTTCCATGTTAAAGCACAATATTTCCAGTTTAATTGCTGAACAAGAACTGCATAGAATGTACAAACTCGACACTTTCAAAAGACCTACAGTTTGTAAAAAACTTGATAAAAGATTAGTTACCGTTTTTGCAGGCTTTGTTCAACCCATAGAAATCTACAGGGTGGTCGAGTATACCAATTTAATCTAAATTAAACGACCTCATGCATGCATTTAGTTGTCATAACTTTGTTAATAATGAATATTTTTTCATGAAATTTTGGTCACACCTATTTAGAGGCACTCTGAATCCAGTGGCGTAGTGATTTTCTCAATAAAAAAATCGCTAAAAAAAATACCGATTTTCGACTAAGAAAAAATATCGTAGTATGCCCTGAAACTTTAATAAACATTTCAAATTTTGTCCCAAGGTAGACCTTCTAGTACTTGACAACTGCGACCCACTGACGTTCAGTGTTTGTCAAATTCAACTTTTTTTTTTGAGAAAAATTGAAAAAGTGCATTTCTAGATCGAATTTAACAAAAAGTTACTTGAAAAAGTTGTGTCTACGGCAATTTTATATCCATATGCCAAAATTTTATGCAACTAGGATAAAGTTAACGTTTTGCTTATTTTGACAGACATCCCCTTTATTTTAAAAAACAATTTCGGTTAATTGTCATCAATTCATACATGCATAACAAAGTCATCATGGAGTTTAACTTTTCTGATACATTTTTACTCATACGGACATACTTATACTTTAACAATGTTGGTCTTGTTCAATTTTTGTTTGCACTATATGCCTTTTTACGGTTATACGAATGCGTGAAAGGGACACAAATTTTCCTAAAAATTAAATTCACTTAATTTCGAGTTTGAAGCCGGAATTTAATGATTTTTTCAAAATAATTTGTAGTCAAAATAATTTGTAGTCCTTTTACGCCTTTGTGCGGTTTCATCAATTTTTTTAATTGTTAAACTGTAGATTAATTACTTATTAATTACTTAATACTTCGATAATATTTCATCAACTACTTTTACCAACTACTTCTAGAGTCACGTTTCGGAAACCTCCATTCATATTTCGGGTGTTGAAAAAATTACTTTCATCTTACTATATATACTGCTTCATGGGTTTATCTTCTACCTACAAATGCGTTACTGAAAAATAACACTTCTTGTCTTTCCAGAGTCCGGTCAATGCAGAAACAGGATCGGCCCACGATGAAACAAGCTCGAGCGGCAATAAAGAAGATGAGGACGACGACGATGATGAAATCGACGACAAAATAGACACGCATACCCACGACCCTGAAAGGTTGAAAGCGTTCAATGTAAGTTGTATGTAAAGTTATAGCGTGTACACGAAAGGAGATGATTATCCAAGCCATTCAATCTCTCACTTGTAGAAAAATTGTGTTGTATTTCGAAATTTATTCGAATAGAATATATTATCGGACTCTTATTCAACGTGGAATAATTTATGCTGCGAGACACAGTGTTTCAAATTATTTGACAGTGCATTAATTGGTGGAAAGAAGCCATAGTTTACATGGTTGTAGATTGATCGAATGACTGATCACATGACCAAAGAAATTAACATTACACTGATAGAATTCCTAATAAATACGTTATCACTTTCGTTGGCGTCGTTCAGCTACATAAAGTTTTTGAGTATCAAGTGTTATAAAATTAAATGAAACGATTTGTTATATTTATTAGTTTGAAATTACTTTTCTTTGTATATTTCTACAAGAACGTGACTGAAATGTGTCATTCTGATATTCGTATAAATTCTCTTTTTACTCTCCTAGAATCTGCGGTACCGTAGAAACTGAACAAAGAGTATCTAAGAAAAGCAGGTATTTGTAAAATGGAAATCAATCAAAACGTTTTCATTGGGTGTTTTTTAAAAAAGATCTGACTTGACAAGAATTTACAGAATCACTTCGTTCAAGTTTTGGTAATGAAGCACAATCAAAAAAGACTGTTTATAATTATTGGTTTGTAGAATTTTATGTTATGGAATCGGCTAATACATGAATTCATGACTAATTCATGAATAAGAATCCATAACGTATTCAAGAAACACTTTATTCTGAGATTTTCACCACACAGTTTACAAAACCGCAACACGTGTTTCGCTATACAATATCTTCTTCAAGCTAGTCTATACTAATAAAGTTAATGTCAATACAATTAAAGATCGATATGAGACATTTTGAATGAACCTTGACAATATGAACGTTGAGATGTGAAAAAATATTTGTTTCACATGGTTATGTTATAGAGTGTGTGTCGGTTACATCGAACTTCCACTAGAAGATTGAAATAAATTAGTGAAGTTATCAAAAAATTCATATGAAAGTTTTTTTAGAAATCAGTGCATTGTGTTTTAAAAAAACCAATATACGAGATAACCACTAGAAACGCAACGAATCATAGTTTTTATAATTGAATGAGATATACTGCGATCCGCATTCGTTTTTCGTTAGAAGAGTGCTTAAAAAAATATATGTCGAGTGGATTGCTACACAATGTTGTATATGAAAACTATTTTTCGAGAATTAGTTTCAATGAGGACAGAAGTGTATTACTCTTGAATGTGTGAATATTTGAAAAACAAACAGTTTGTTCCAAAAATTGTTTTCCTACTTTGTGTAAAAACTAAAAAAGTGACTCTCGTAGTTTTTCCTGCAGTCATAACATAAAAGGGCAACTTAGCAGTTGTACTACGAATTAACAGTTAAAAATTCAATTATAATGTTCTCAAGCAAGTTTGCATAAATATTATATGATAATTGCGTTTTTCGAATTATATGAACAATCATTCCTCATGATCAATTGAGTAGTAGGTACATAAAGAGTATGTTATTAATATTCAGTCTGTAACATTGTCTAAGAATATATAATCACACAAGTCTAACAGTAGTCACTGATTTACGTGAATATTGAACAGTACACTAGAGTTTTTAAATTATACCAATAAATAATCTTTTGAATTTTGTAGTACAAAATCTCTTTCACTGAAAAACTTGAAGCAATTGAACTATTTTTCAGCAATAACAACAATTAACAACAAAAGAAATGCATGTCATGGATTAACATATTATCAAATGTTCGAAACTCCTTGATAACTTAAGCAACTCAGTATAATTTCCATAAGCAAATATCAGCAGGCAACCTCCTAGTGGATTTTGATGAAGTATCGGCCAGTTCTCAATGTTATGGCTTTTGTGGTGGTTTTTGTTTATGGTTTTTTCAACTCTCTCACTAAGTCTCTCACGGGTGCCTTTCATAAACCTTTTGTACCTCAGGGATACATCTGTACGCCGGAGGTGGAGAAGACAAGGTAAAATTCAAGCATCAGTGGGATTATCGAATCAATCATATATATGTTCTCGACCGAGATATATGATTTCAAAGAAATATCATGTCCACTTCTCCTCAAAGAAATATAGCTCAATGCATTTATATCATGATAGCTCTCTTGTAAAATGTAGAACATGGTAGCCTATACCACTAAGATATAGATATATCTCCTTCAGTCTTTTTTGTATTGTTCATCAACGATATATTAGAAAAGATAAAAATCGAATATATTTGACACCTACACAACTGTTTCGTTTTTAAATTCTGCTACCAATTATTATTGACAAAAACCTGGGTAGTAATCAAGTAGAAATTATTGCTAAGTTGCCCAATTGTTACTTTTTCTTAAGTAACTAAATATGGTAAAATCCGACATTTTCACAATGTTTATATGAAGTTTAGAAATTTGCCTGTGTTAGTTTTGAATTTCCTTTCGTAAAACTGTTGTTTCAGTTAAGGAAGAAATGCTTGTTTGTGTGGCACCTAAAAATCCCCCCATTTCATCATAGGAGGATCAATCCATAGCCTCATTACTTTCCTTCTGTAATTAATTGATTGACAATTAGGAAATTCATATTTTTTGCTGACGATGCAAAATAATCGTACAAAAAACATATCAGAACCATACATGCAAAATTTTTGAACAGAACAAGATGTCAAGTTTCTACAAAATTTACGAAAAAAAGTATCGTTTTGATATATTTTCCAAATGGAACAAATCAAAGGAGGGGGTGTTATTGTGATACTTCGTTTGGTAGGTATTCTAATTCTGTATCCATCACTATTTTACTTTCGGAAATTGGATCAGCCGTTCCTATTAGAATAAACAGTTTTATATTCGTTTCAAGATTTTGTAATCGAACTATAAATACATAAGTTCTAAAGTGGCTAGATGAAAATTATCCAAATCGGTGAATTGGCAAACGTGGTCCCTTAGAACGGCCCGCTAGATCACTTGACACGACGTCTTTTGATTTTTTCTGGGGATTCGTGAAATTCAAAGTATACGTTACATAACCACAGCCTATTCCAAAGATAATAGCTAGAACAACAGATGCTTCTAACGAAAATACCCCAAACATTCCATAATGTAAAAAATGAAATTGGAAAATACTTCGTTATTGTGAGGAAGTGAATGGTGAATATTCTGAATATTCATTTAGATAAACTAAAGTGAGCTTTGAATATATTTTTTGTGGAAATTGTACTCGTATTCATCGTACGAATGTAAAACTCCTGATTACTGAGTGATGGTTAATCGGATATCTAAAAATGAAACGGAGTTAGATAGAGAAGTAGAATACCTGAAAAATTGAATATGAAAAAACTCCCTTTTCCATTTGAATGGTAACACCCACCCTCTCGGTGACGAGTGATGTAATACTATTGTCTTTAATATCAAAAAGTGCTCAAAATGAGGACGTTTTATTAATTTTGTTCTACCTCGATATCTTGTCCAGTTCAAAAGTTAGGAGAGAAGGACTTTTTACGTCCCCACTATAAGATACTATAAATCAAAAGCGCAGGAAATGTCAATTATTATAACTTCAAGGATTAAAATATCTTTCCGTTTCAGTGCCGATAGCTTGTTGATCTAAGTATTATTGTGAAAAAACCGGTAAAAAAACGCTTATTTAGATTTTATGCAATAAAATATGGGAATATCAGTAATAATAGTTGGTTTACCATTATTGCGTTCAGGAGTGTTTTGATAGGATCACTTGATTGACTGGATTACTGGAAACTTCTATTAGTTGCTGATAAAGATTTGTGGGAAAACTATTGATATTTGTAGCTGAAAGAAATGTATTGAAGGATTTCATTTCATATATTTTCAAAGAAAATTACATTTACAGATGGTTGTAGTATCATGAATTTGTATTTTTTTTTCAGATGTTCGTAAGACTATTTGTTGATGAAAATTTAGATCGAATGGTTCCTATTAGTAAACAACCTAAAGAAAAAATACAAGCCATAATTGATTCGTGTACAAGACAGTTTCCGGAATTTGCAGAAAGGGCGAGAAAAAGGATCCGTACTTATTTAAAATCCTGCAGAAGAAACAAAAGAGCTAGGGATCCAAATTCGTCATGGGATGCGGTGAGTATGAATAATAATAAGCACAATACAAGTTCAAATTGCGTTATTCAATTCTATTATACCTAAAATTTAAAGATATTTCTGTATAAATGATTTGTAATCATGAAACATAAATTCTAAAAATTGCGTCTTCGTTGAAATCTCTAATATATGTAGAGATGTTAATATTAGGTTGTTTCAAACGTGTTCTCCGTTTTAATATCTCAATAAATATTTATTCTACTGTGTCTACTGTGTTCGAAAAATTAACCAGACATTTGGCAGTAATAGTTCCACATTGTTTTACGAAATTTCGTTCCGGAGATTTTATCCTCGAAGATGAACTCCGGTGGTCGACCTAAGTGATACAGGACGAGGATTTTGAGACTGACCAATCACATACGATGCGTGGGATGGCGGAAGAACTGGGCGTCAGCTCCCATGCAACTCTTGAAAGTCGAAACTTGTGCTAGCTAAGGACTAACGAGGTCTTACCTTTTAACGTGTGATTCCTAACACGGGTTGGACGATAGGAAGTGAAAATCGATCGTCCGGCCTTGCGGTTCGAACCACCGGTTCACACAGTGGTCGATCGAGTGTGTCGAGCAAACCAGCCAAGTCAACCCACCAGGCTACCGTCCTACCTTTTCAAGCACTTAGATTACTTTCTCACCGTGTTAGGAATCATACATTAAAAGGTAAGACCTCGTTAGTGCTCAGCTCGCACAACGTTCTCAACTTCTGAGAGTTGTTGTTCGTATGGGGGCGACAGCTGATTAACGGAAAAACAGACCTGAAGAACCTTCGCCAAACAGGACCAGGCAAAAACGGCCTTCGTCGACTTCATCGAACCCCGAGCACACAATTTTTATGCTCACTGCATTAATCGACTCATGTTACGTTGGTAAAAGTGCACTGATTCAAATGGCGCTCATTTGGATTAAATTGAATAAGTATTCATATTACAGTTTAAAGTAGAGTCATAAAAACGGACAAAACTTTTTAAACAACCTAATAGCATTCCACAATTCAAAAAATTTTTACAGACAAGACCAACCCCAGCTCACCTCACTTCCGTACAAGCAGAGCAAATTTTAGCATCAGCATGTGAAAATGAAAGCCACAATGCCAAAAGGATGAGGTTAGGATTGGAACCTGTGAGTCAGCCGATGCCAGTGTTACCTGGTATACAGGTTAGAGAACATTTTTACTATTTTATACATATTGAGTATGGTTGCTTAAAAATATTTTAAAGGTCAAAATATGTCAAGGGGAACTTTAAAAATCTCTCTAGAGCTACCCCGCGAAAATTGAAACGAAATGAAATTGAATTTTGAACTAAAATACAGAAAGTTTAGCAATATAACAAAAAAAAAATCCATAGGATGAAATTGAACCCTAAAGTACTGCATAAATGGGCAGATATAAGTTGCTCCTCTATTAGTCCTCTTGGAAAATGGAACAATTTTTGAATCCAATCTTATGTACACTTTGCAACTGTAAACCAATTTAATCACCTGTTTAGAGGTAATCGGATAATGACTTTTCGATTTAAGTATACCTAGATTTTACATGTATTGCCTTTGTCCATTCATTTTTATAGTTTTTCTCATTGAAATTTTAATTTTTGGGGAATTAATCAAAGAAGAACAATGGATTCAAAGAAACAAGGTATCGTTTGTGAAAAATTTCAAATTTAGAAAAGTAACTGTTTTAGACAGGGGTGGAAAACGTTGGCAATGTACAAAAAAGTGTAAAGCTAATGAATAAAAGAGAACTGAAACTTTCTTTTTTTACATTAAATTTGATTTCAATGTATAACGGCAATTTATGATTTTGACCTTCAACAGTAAGCACCAATTTATGAATTTTACGTCAAAAAGCTTGTCCGAGATAAAATCGGCAACCAACTTTTTTAAGATTTTGGACACATCGCTAACGACAGAGAGAATGGCAGCCTCAAAATCAGAAATATAATATTATATTAAGGAACCAATGAACTGATTCTAACATTTTTCATTCAGTAAATTAAACAATTTTTTTAGTAATTTGTTCCTTGTTATGTAATAAACTAAAAACAAGAATTATATAATAATCAAAACCGTATTGTATAAGTTTGAAAATGTCCTTATAGGACGAAACTGCAGTAACGTTAGTTACAAATACAAGTGGTAAAAAACATAGATTTAAATTGTCTTTTCTTCATTATTATTTCCTACCACGTAGTAACGGCTACATCCATCAATTTGATTGTAAATCTGCTTATAACACAATAGGAAATAATAATTCAGTGGTTCGCGTATATGTAAAACACAATCATCTTGATCTTATCGTCTTAGACAATGCAACATATTTGTTGTCTAGTGTAGTAAAACGGATAGCAGTGGAAGACCTCAGCGAAATATCAACAAAAATATTAAAAAACGAAATTTTAAGTAATAACTTGCTTCGTAACTTATAATACGTCACTACTTCAGCATTAATTTCTGTTAGACGTATTTATTCCGGCCGACGAAAAATGTTGCCATCACTTCCAAAGTCGTTGGAAGAAGCAAAATGTCATATTGAGGAGTCAAATATAAAAACCAACAAAAATGAAAATGTTGTTATTGCAAATGATGAAAAAAGTGAAATTGTATATTTTCATGTAATATTAATTTGCAAATGATATGTTCTGTAGAGAGAATGTATATGGGATGGTACATTCTCTTATTTTACCAAATTGGATAACATTATAGAAAATACACACACTTCATTCATGAACTTTCTTTCCCAAAAAAATTAATCACTCCTAAAAATATAACCCCTTCAATTTATATAATTCTTGTTTTTAGTTTATTGCATAACAAGGAACAAATTACCAAAAAAATTGTTTAATTTACTAAATGAAAAATGTTAGAATCAGTTCATTGGTTCCTTAATATAATATTATTTCTGATTTTGAGGCTGCCATTCTCTCTGCCGTTAGCGATGTGTCCAAAATTTAAAAAAAGTTGGTTGTCGATTTTATCTCGGACAAGCTTTTTGACGTAAAATTCATAAGCTGGTGCTTACTGTTGAAGGTCAAAATCATAAATTGCAAAAATATTATTATTTAGTTGAAAATTATATTGATGGAAACTCCCATTTTCCACCTTCTTTGTGGATTGATGCTTCAGAAAAAGTTTTGAGAACTACGAATTTATGCAAATCGGTCAGTCGCACTTTTATGAACCTCACCCTAATTTGTTCAAATTTACGTATTGAAGAGATTTCAAATTGAAATATATGTGAAAATACAAAGCACGGAACTACACTATGATGAATACGATATGATAATAAAATTAAGAAAAAACTAATACATCAATATAAAAAGAATGCATTTACTAGGTTGCACTTTATGGAAAGCACATCTTATTTTTATTTGATGAAATATCTGTGAATGGAATAATTTACATAGGTGTTTTTTCAAAATAAAGTTCATACCTAAATTAGAGTTGAATTGATAAATATCAAAAATTAGTAGCAAATGTCATATTTTTTGTTTATTCATTCTAATCTGTACTACTGTAGGATATAGAGGAGTTTTCTCAATATGTCTAAAGTTTTATCAAACATAAATTTATCAGTATTACCTATCAGATAGTAAAGGCGCGAAGTGTACCTAGGATATAAGAAATACCCAATCAGTAAGCGGAACAAACTGTAGTCGGCCAATTACTGATGAATTTTGACAAAAACCAAAAAATCCAAAGAGTTTTATTGATCTTCTTTTAGAATTTTCACCTTCCGCAGTCTGAAAAAAATCAAAATTGTAACAATGAATTTAATACAGCTATATATAATACTTCTATTTCACCCTGACGTATTTAATAATTTTGACTTTCAGAAAAAGAGAGCTAAAAATTTTATTGCAATACTGATACTGAATATAACATATAAAACGCGTGCGATCGCTGCTAATCATATAGTGCTATAGGTAAGGTTCCCACCTCTCCCGGAATTCCGGGAGTCTCCCGGATTTAAGCTCTGAAAATTAAAATCTCCCGGCTCCCGGAAGGAATTTAAAATATACAGAATTCTCCCGGGATAACAAGTTGTGCAAAAGTAACTATGAAAACTCTCTGCCGTTATGCTATGCTACTGTTACTTTTTACACAATATACTTTTTACATAATACGATGCGGATTTTCAACACTGTCATTAAAGTTCTTGAAAGTGATTTTGTAACTTGCCCAGAATTGCACGATGTTATGATAGAAATCCGCCAAAAAATTATCAATAGAAGAAAGGATAATTTTTTAGTAGTTCAGTAAAAGATCTTTAAAAAAAAACTAAATGAAACAGACAACGCTACGTTTTACAAGGAAGTTTTACTGAATAAATGGTATGCTTTTGAAAATTCTGAGTACCTATAGAAAATTGAGCATACTTTCAATGAAAAAAACCGATAACGTGGTATGATTTGAGAGCTTTGGCCGTTGATGAAAATAAACTTTAAGATTTTTGCATTTTAAGGAAAGTTCAAGACAGCATTGGTAAATCAAATTGATTTGAGGTGGGCAAAATTTTTTTCAACCATCGAAAATGGAGTTGGTGTTATGTTAAAAAAAATTGTTTCATTTGTTTTATTTGTACCAGTATCTAACGCTGCATGCGAGCGTGTTTTTAGCATAGTATTCGATATATGGATAAAGGAAAGAAATCGTTCAAATGAAGAACATGTCAAGGCGGAAATTCAAACGTTTTTCAATTTCAAAATGGACTGATAGTCAATGTTTTTTTCTCCCGGATTTAGAGAGCTAAGAGGTGGTAACCCTAGCTATAGGGCGCAGTGCGGTCTTCGATGTGCTATTTATAAGTACGCGCCGCCGGCCTCCTTTCTCTTGTACTGAGGTTTCTTATTTTGTACATGTTTTCCAGCCTTATTAGTATTTTGTCCTTTCTGAGATTTTTGGGTATTTAATTTAGTTTTTCCTTTTTCTTGAATTTTCTTTATCTTTTCCTGTTTTTTCTATTCCTTTTCTTCTAACTCTTGTTCAAAAGGCGTAGATGTCAGGATTTTGGCATGCTGTTTTTTCTGGTTATACTTTTTCTTGCAGAGGATTTTCTAATAGACGCAAGTTGTTTAAATGATGTGAAACTAGTAGAAGGTCCCGGAATAGAATCCACTGCTGTTTTTTCAACCTAATTTTTATTTATAGGTGGCAAAGTTTGAGATGGGTTCGTATTGTAAATTTCGGCTGGTATGGCTTCATTGTTATCTTGGACTTCAACAAGCGATTGATTTTGTAGTATTGTAGCAGCTAAGAAATCCTGATCTGTAAATACTTTTGGGTTGAGTGGAAAAATGCCAGCGCATTTAAAACCAGATTCTCCTTTACTTATGGTCGCTACTGTAGAGTATGCTTTATTAAACAGACCAGCAACATTATATGGCGTGATCTTTCGCATAAAATGTGTTTTCATGAACAAATTACATTCATTTCGATATTCAGCTTTAAGAGGCCCATAAAAAACAATATCCAAAGGTTGGATCTTGTGAGATGAATGAGGCGGAATTGAAAGCATAGAAATATTATTTGCTTTGCAATATTCATAAACTTTTATTGATATGTGGCTGGAATGGTTATCTGTAATTAGAACTGGTGAGGTTTCACTGGGTTTTGAGTATTTGTGGAAGTGTTGCAACCATTCATAAAATAAACTTTCATCGATCCAACCATTATTTGAACATTTATATAATGCCCTCGGAGGTCCATCTTTTTCTAAAAGAGGTGTCAGCGGCATTCATAGCACACATAACTGTGATGTTTCTACCCCTCTCTCCACTGGTTGCAAAGCCCACCCTTTTCTGGCCTTTGGTAGCTAAAATTTTTCCAGGATCCTGAACTGTACTAATGCCCGTCTGATCGGCATTGTATATTAGTGTTGGACCAAATTGATATTTTGTCATTAAACTTTCTAATAGCTTAAAAAACAGGTCAACTTCTTCTTTATTAAAAGCTGTTAATCGGTTAAGACTCGTGCCTTCTGCTTTGCGTATGGATACTGTTGGATTTCTGCGAAGAAAACTTCGTAACCACTCGACACCAACTAATCCTAAACTGACGTTAAAGTTTAGGTAATACTGTTTCTTTCAGCAAACTCAAATGCTAATTTTCTCAGTTCTCTTGCTGTTACGCCATAAAAAATAGAAGCTAAATATTTTATTTGTGTGGCTATTTCAGGTTCTTGTTCGGCAGAAAATACTGATTTTCTACCTAATGTCGCACCTTGAAGATTTTTATTTTTGATTCTTTCTTGCAATGTTGAAAAAGAGATCTCATATGCTTTTGCAGCTTTTCGCATAGTCATTTCACCATTTCGATATGCTAAAATAGCTTTTATTTCTGACCGGGATATTATAAGCTTATATCGTCATAGTTACGCTATCAATTTATGTCCTANTGAAAGTTTACAATGAACTGAAGGCAGATCCAATACTAGGAATGCCCGTGAATAAAACAGTTCCGCAGTACAACTTTCAAAAAGTTTTCAAAATCATCATACCAAGTAGAGAGGACTGGCAAAACGGTAAAAGACGAAGAAATTTGGTATACAGATGGCTCAAAGACTCAAGAAGGAGTGAGAGCCGGTATATACGAAGGCAAAGCAAAGACGAGAATCGGACTCAGCGTCGGACATAATGCAACTGTGTTCCAGGCAGAAGTAGCGACCATCGAACATTGTATAGGGGAAATAAACAGGCAGAAGGTTACAAATAAAACCATTGTCATTTTCTCTGACAGACAGGCGGCGATTAAGGCGCTCAGCTCATTTCAAGTCTTTTCAAGACTGGTGGGAAGCTGTCTGAGCGCACTCAAGGAGCTAAGTACCCAAAATAGGATCACTCTAGCTTGGTTATCCGGACATGAGGGTCACAAGGGCAATGAGGAGCCGATGTTCTAGCCCGTGAAGGCGCATCCAAGTGGTAGCGAAAGCTTGTATAAAGACATCCATAAATTTATGGATGCAAGCCGAATCGATGGATTAGTGGAATAAGCTCCCAGGAATAAGGCAGGCGAAAGAGTTCATAAAAAAGCCATCGCCCAGATTCACGGAAGACCTGCTAAACCACAACCGTAAAGTTGTAAGGGTAGAGGTGAGTCTACTAACGGGGGCATAGTCAACTCAGGAAATATATGAGCAACATGGGTCTGACAGAAGAAACCGAATGCAGGTTATGTCCAGAAGAGAAAGAAACCGCACTGTATGTGCTCTGTGAATGCGAAGCGATAGCAAGGCTGAGACACGCAAGATGCTGGGAAGAGAAACCAGAGGCTGTCAGCTATATGAAGGGGTCAGTGTCGAGGCTATGGAGTATCATCAAAGAGATCAAGCTAGACAATGTGCTCTAACAACCAAGGAGCATCACAGTAGATCTGAAAAGATCGCAGTGAATCAGGCCATGGGCTAGCTCCCTGACAATCTAATCTCTAATCTAATACTGTATTGCCTAAAATCGCTTCGTAAAAAAGTAAAGGATAAAACATTGTTATTGTGGGTTATTTCTAAGAGATAGACATATAGCATCGCGGACTTTTTCAAACCTTTTAAAGGTGTACAATACTGTAGGTACACTTTTTAATCTATCTCGTAGGGTTCAGCCAGCGTTTGTAAGCGCAAAAAATTTGTTTATTTACGACATCACGTTAAAAACCTCTAAAATTGTCAGTGTTTCTCTACTATGTTATGCAAATTATATACATATACACCTTCCTCTTGAATCACTCTATCTACTAAAAAATTCTGCATCAAAATCGGTTGCGCAGTTTTAAAGATCTAAGCATACATAGGGACAGACAGCGAGAAGCGACTTTGTTTTATACTATATAGTGATATCGACGATTCAGAGATCAAAATCATCTATCAACTGAAAACCAACCTATATCTTGCATTTTCTCTGCAAGTTATATTAAGTATTTTGAACACGAAGGCGGGTATCGAAACGTTAAGATAAATAGCAATGAAAAAAATTCTTAGCACTTTTTTTCTAATAGGAAAAGTTATCAAATCCAACTTGATGAAAAGCCGCCACACGTTTCTTTGTCAAAAATATATTGAATTTTCGCAGGAACGTATCAGAGTGAATTAAAATATTTCTCTTTCTACAACCTCACAAAGTTCCCCGTTACAATTATTTTTTACATTCTGAGGAAGGAAGAAAAATCAATGAAACCACTGATTTCTTTCATAAAAAATTACTTTTGTGCAATAAATCCAACAATTTGAGGCAATTTTGAAAAAAAATCAAAATTTGGAAACCGGTTTCCACCCCACAGCAAATTCTTCAATATCTTTGAGAGACCAGAAATAATCGGTTGATACAAATATAGTGTTATTATGTTCGATGAGAAATAAATAAAATATTCATATTTCTCTTAATTTTTCAGCCCACTGATACGACAGCACAGATAAATAGGGGGTTAGATTTTTCGAACAACTCTTCTATCAAAATGGAAAGTGATATTGTACCGACCGGTTTTCCTTCATCCACCACACCTTCAAGCACTCCCAATTCGATAACCAAAGTCTTATCAGCAACGCCGGATATGAAAACGTCGCTCAAGTAAGTTACATGTTTCATTCACCTTTTCTTGCGGGCTGAATCTATAAATTTTAGTCATCTTGTTGCATATTATTGGATGAAAAGTTATATTTTCACTTTTAACTACGATAGCACACTTTGTAGTTTTGTTATGCACAAGTGTTGAAAATAATGAACTTAATTCACCGACACCTCTTTCAACTGGCACCAGAGACAAATCTTTTTTATTTTTCTGAAAGAAAACAATTTGTGTGACAAAATTTAAATTTTAGTTCATAAAGTTGAAAAACTGATATAAGTTTGAACATCAAACTAGTATTCACCAATGTGTTATCACTTACTACAAGATTTAGTATCACCAAACTTATAGAGTTGTCTCTATAAAAGCTTATTTCACAAAAACCAAGTTTTGTGAATATAAATTTATAATTTGATTCAAATTTCTTGACCAAAAGATTAATAATAAATAATTACCAGACTACAGAAGGTAAACATTTTTATTGGGAATCAGGAGATATAGAAGCGCATCTTCAGTGATAGCACTTCATCTGTTGAGTGAATGTAAATCATTCAAATTTAAAACCCTTTAAACCACTGAATTTATTACAAACTAAATATATGAATTTATTACCATTCCTAACATTGTCAACTTATTTTCGGTAATTGTAGTATAAAATATTGTAACAAATTAAATATAATAATTACTTTCCAAAATTGACATATGGCCCTAGAAACCATTTTATAAATTGCTCTATACTTTACTCCCACCTGTTTTCAATTGAGATTTGAAGCTTTCCGTGAGTTAATGTGTTTCAAAGTGACTTTTGATGGAAAACGTTTTCAGTTTCAATTCAAATATTGGGATTGAATGGCAGGTTAATAACCACATAGATATGAAAACATTTAAACTGAGTGCATCCTGCTTCATTACTAAAAATCTTCGTCACATTACATCATGAAAAATACCAAAACTTACATATTCTAAAACCGAATCCTATAACAACATATATTCTGTGAGAATTCATGTATTTTAAACATTTACTATTCATTTGTAATGTCACGCTAACTTAGCTACACACCTATGTTGTCCTATATGACATAGTATTATTGTTGCAATGATACTTATCAATGGCGTTTTTAATTTTTATAACCAGTCAACCCGATGTAAATTGGTGACTTTATGCTCAATAAAATTGTCTGTCTGTCAGTAGGCGCAACTCTAGGTTGAATTCCCCCGATTTTGAAAAGTTGTGTACTTGCAAAATATACATAAACTCAGTATCCCAGTGAAAAATATTTTTTTCCTGAAGAATGTACCCACCTAGAGGATCAGACCGAGCTTTATTATTACAAAAGTTTGAAATTATTTCTTTAGAGAAAAGAAGAGGACAGACTTCCAAAAATTTCTGTATAAAATCTTATTTGTGAATGAGCACAAACTAACTCAATTTACGTAATGTACATGAACCATAACAAAGTTTGTGATTATTGTGATATTTTCTCTAGTAATCTGATTGGGTTGGAAAATAAGTCGAGAGCCTATATTCAATGTTAGTGCTAAGTTAATTTATGTATCAGTACCACAGTATACTATACAGTAATCCCACTTCGGTTGATTTTTGGTTTGAATTTTCTACACGCAGACCCAGATGCAGTCTCAGGTCTGCGCAAACGACGAGTTCAAGACAGGTACGCAAACCTTCCATAGTTGTCGAATTTCCTGGGTTTCATCCAACCTACTGTGAAATGAAAATTTATTTTGTCACATCCGAATATGAACATCTGCCGATCCCATGAATTTTTAAAATCTACTTGACACATAGTTCATCATTGTCCAAATGATCTGGGTTACTTGAATATTTCACCAATGCAAAATTATCATTTGTACATTTGACCGATGCTAAGTGGGACTACTGTATATAAGTATACTGTGTCAGTGCTATCTTGTCTGAAATTGCTCTGTAAATGGTTGTTACTGTTGGCAATAAATGCTTCAATATTGTTATTAAAGTATTGTTTGCTTCGATTTTATAGGTCCCGCTGATCTCAGTATGAAGCAGAAGCCTCTTTTGAACCACAAACTTAGTTCTGGTGAAATGACTGCTGTTCGACAACTCATCACCGGATATCGCGAATCGGCAGCTTTCTTGCTACGATCAGCAGATGAGCTGGAGCAACTCCTGATGCAGCAACAGTAGTGTCCTAATGTTAGAACTTAAACATGCCATATGAAGCAAAGGTTGACCTGTCTCCGTTAGGACGCCACAAGTCAGAAATAAAAGGATGAATGAAATTAAAAATAGGTTTGATGTTAGACTGTTATTCTCAAAAAAAATTGGAAGTGAATTTATCGTCACCTGTATTGTTCCATATTGGAAATATTGTAAAATGGTCCGTTAAAGTGTTCACCTCTTGAATAACTCTCTCCATAAACATATTTTATATTGAAAACATCAGTTCCATATGAAATCTGCTAGGAAAGGTCTACTTATTTACTATTAAATTGTACAATTTCAAAGGAAGTGTAAGTATCCTTTTTTCATGATAGCCTACTTGAGGAACCTGCTAGCTCTTTAACTTTTCTAAGTAAAGTCATGAAAGTCCCAGTTGGTGAAAAATTTATAAACATCCATCTATGTGCGAAAGTTCAAAAAGTGGTAATTGGAGAGCTAGTCATTTGCAGTACTAGTTTTATTCTAGTCAGAGGGCAAAGTGTAATTTTAGGTTCTTGTTATTATATATCTTTTTATAAAAAAGTTTTTATTTTGATGTCGATATTTATTTTTGTGCAATTTATTCAGTTTTCTGAAAACATATTCAGAATGAGGTATGAAAATATACACCTATTTTATATGAATTTACCAGCTACTGAAACTGAACATTTTCATTTAATTTGTTCGTTCAAAAAGTTTTGAATATTTATTTGCCAAATGGGACTTTCACTAATAATTTTATATAATTGTACTGAAATTTATAGAAAACCTTGCAATTACCTGAATGAATGGATAAAAACCTTTTTTGTATATTTTGTCATATCTATTTTTCATGAAAATATTTTCAACTGATTTTGAGTTGTCACCTTGTAATACTTTAAACAAGCACCCAGTATGAAATTTACAACATTTCTGTGATGTATTAGGTGTGTAGATATGGACCTAACGTTTTGAAATTCCCAAAATTTTTCGCTTGGTATATTTTGTAATTCTTTCCTACATTCCAAAATGTTTTGAAATATTTAATCTCCAAATTGTATTTTGATCTGAAGTCACTGCCAGATTTATGTATAAATAAAGTGTCCACATATTTTCTGTTTTTAATTATACCCCTCTCATTGATTTTCTCAAATATTTTAGTACTCATAAGGACCTGATCACTCTACCAAATAATTACACTAAATAAATTGCTCATCAACTACCTAGTTATCTAAAAGTAAAACAGGGGCAATTGTAGTGAAATTTGGTATTTCTTAGTAATGATCAGGACATGGAAATATTCAGGGTTTGAAATTGATATTGAAGAAGATAAAAATTTCCTTTGACATTTTTTAAAATCATCTGATTTTTATCAAGAGCTATTTTTGTCTAAGTGAAGAAAATAACCTGAAAATAAATTACGTTTGTTGAATTAATTTCAATGATCTATTTTGGAGTATGCAGGTGGAAAATATTAACACAGAATACCTTCATTTCTGAAATGCATTAGAAATTTTGACTTACAGAAAAAGGTAAAAATAAAACTGGTGCACGAAGAGTACTTTCCAAATCAGATATTTTTCAAATGCTCAGGTATCAACTGATTTTTTTCTGACCATTGGTAGACCTGTGGTCTTGGAAGGTGTGGACTGAATGTCCACTCGTGGACATATGGTCTCAGAAGATACTGTTGCTGCTGGAGACTGAATGACTACCTGTGACATAGTTTGTTTTTGATTAATTTTTGATTGTTGACATGTGTTGATATCTTTTATAGGTCATTTAATTGTTTGTAAAAATTGAGAAATTGCTCGATGCCTCACCTCAATGAATTTTGCAATTGACAAAAAAATACTGAAAAAATGCAACTGCATGGTCCGCACCTATCTTTGATGTTCTCTGGGACTGCAAAATCGACAAATACACACAAAACCCATATAGTAAGTTTCCACGAGATAGATTTAAATTAAAAAATGATTATCCATATCAAAACCTGAATTATGAACAGGAAACAACACACTTTAAGTATACTGTGTC